TTTGCTTGCGTGAAGTAGCACCTTAAGCCAGCAGGTGATCTGCCAGTGCTAGAGGGCTCGAACGCACAGCTCCATGGCGGCGTACTTCCCTTCCGTGTTCGTAAACGACCAGGTGTCTGTACAGAGTTCGATGTGTACAACGTTTACGGAACTCGACAGTCTGGTTTGCAGTGTTAAAGAGGTTCAAAAACTACTCACCAACCTTAGCGGCACCAAACCTGCTGGTCCTGACGGACTCGATCCACTGATTTTCAAGTCCCTATCGGCCATCATCACACCTGCTGTGAAGACTTGCTCAACAGATCAATATCCGAGGGTTCATTGCCGAGTGACTGGAAACGTTTAGTGGTTAAGCCGATTCCGAAACGTGGTGACCCCTGCAAGGCGGACAACTACAGGTCGATTAGTCTGACACTTACTTTGGCCAAAGTTGCTGAGAAGATAGTGAATGAGAGGCTACTACAGCTGCCCCATTCAAAAGATCTACTGACGCCCGCGCAGCACGGTTTTATGCATGGCCGCTTATGCATTACCAACCTGCTGGTGACGAGGCATGGATAGTTGCAGGCAGTGAATCAGGGAAAGTCTGTCAACGTAAGTTACATCGATTTCAACAAAGCGTTCGACAGGGTCATCATCATCATCATCATTACACGTTAGCTGGAGGTGGAAAACACCCCAGCTGTTGTGCCGCAATACAAAAGCAAGAAAAAAAGAAAAACAAACAAACAAACAGTGGCACGACGGCTGAGTCCCCAGTAACGGATGGACATCGTACCGGAGAGCTAACAGCTGGCTGCCGTAAAAATAGAATCATATTATGCCTAACAGGTGAGATCGTGATTGGAGGGGGATGCTAAACAGGAGGGGGATGGACAAAGGAAATCACAACACAAACGCCATTGGGGCCGGCTCCGAGCCATATCAGCAAGTGTGTCCAACCAAACGTGTTCACCGTCCTTAGGACCCCAACCAGGCAGTCGGGATGCACCAACCGACGCCAACTTCGAAGTGAGGGTTTTCATTTCTCTCGACCAAGTCATCACTTGGCCTCCCCTCCTCCTCTTCCAACCGCACCCACAACGCGCAAACAATGCACGTCGTGGGAGTCGGTGTGCAGGCATGCGCAACACGTGGCCCAGCCATCGGAGCCTGGCGTGTGATATAATCGTGCTGAGCGGTTCACTCGCTCTTCCTGCACCAAATACGCGACGCCGAACACGCTCATTGCTCACGCGGTGTTCCCACCAGACATGAGCTAAGCTGCGAAGGCAGCGATGATCGAACGTGACGAGTCTCTTCATGTCTGTCGACGTGATGGGCCAGGTTTCACAGCCATATAGGAGAGTTGAACGGACGGATGCGTTGTAAACTCTGCCTTTCAGGGCGAGAGTAATGTCGCGTCTGCGCCACAGGTGGCGGAGATTGGCAAAAGCACCTCGAGCTTTTGCTATACGGTTCGTAACCTCATCTTCAATCCCAAGGGTGCTAATATAGCTGCCCAGGTACTTAAATTCCTGAACGACTTCTAGCAGATCACCACCAAGCGTTAGCGCAGGGTTGGGTCCCTGCCAATCTTGGAGAAGTACTTTGCATTTCGATGGAGCGAAGCATATCCCAAAACGATTGACAGCCAGTGCTAATCGGTCCAGTGCTCTTTGGCATGTTTGGGAGCTGTCACAGATTAGGGCAATATCGTCTGCATACTCCAAGTCAAGAAGTCGCTCACCAGGAAGTAGCTCCACACCTAGGTCGTGTCCAGCGAACGCTGTTTCCATGACTTCAACAATAGCGAAGTTGAAGAGGAAAGGTGACAGCGGGCATCCTTGTCTCACACCGCTGGTGATACTGAAGGGTGGCGAGAGTTTGCCATAAACCCTCACCCTGCCCGAACTATGCGCGTACAGCGCTTTGATAATGTCTACATATTTATCAGGCACACCTTTCCTCAACAGACAGTTCCAAAGGGCACATCGATCGACTGAGTCGAAGGCACCTTTTATGTCAAGAAACACGACAACGATGGGTCGCCAATAAACATGGCGGTGCTCCAACACTTGACGCAATGTGAAGATGTGGTCGATACAGCCTCGACCTCGACGAAATCCGGCTTGCTCTTCACGAATATGGCATTCACGAGTGCCAGTCAGTCTGTGGAGAATGACAGAGGTAAGCAATTTAGAGGCAATCGAAATCAGACTGATCCCTCTATGATTGCCACATTCTTTACGGGAGCCTCCCTTGAAAATTGGGACAATGACGAAGCGGTTCCAGTCTGTCGGGACTGTCTCCTGCTCCCAAAGTCTTACTAGCAACTCGTGGAGATCATCTATTGGAGCAGGTCCCTAGAATTTGAAGAAGGCCGCGGGGAATTGTATCTGCCCCTGCGGCCTTATGCAATTTCAACAGCCTGAGCTCACGTTCGACTTCTGCGCGTGAGGGCGGATCCAAGGAGACGGCCCAAGGAGAAGGGCGCTCAATGCCCGAAGAAGAAAGCGATAACTCAGGTTGGTTAAATTGCCTTGCAAAGTGTTCGGCCCAACGCTCCAAGCGTTTTGATAGGCTGTAGATCATCTGCCCACTCTCGTCGCGTATGGTCTCGCTAACACCAGGTCTGTTGCCCGTATCAGACGGAATAAGTTACGATGATTACCAATGGCAGCGGCTGTTTCTATCTCAGAGGCACGATGAGATCACCAGGTTTCGCGGTCCTTCTTTAGGCCAGCACGTAGTTTCGCCCTGAGATTTTTGCGAGCTTCATTGTATCCGCTTCCAGCCGGAATACGTCGGTGAGTATCCATAAGTTCCATAGACTGTGTAGAGACCCAATGTCCGGTTTGGCAATTTGTTTTGCCACATGAAGACAGGGTAAACCACGAGGACCTCGTCCACAAGCTGAAAATGTGCGGAGTTGGTGGATCACTGCACCAGGGAATCAAGGACTCACTCGATGGGCAAAAATGGAGGCTACAGGTCGATGTTCATCTAACTGACAGGAATCTCTCTACTAGTGGAGTACCCCAGGGGACGGTGCTGGGCGCACAATGTTCATAATCTACCTCAGCTTCTTCGGTTGCCAAGTGCCCTGTTTGTTGAAGAGCTGAAGAGTTAGAGAGAAATTAGCATCACAGACGACTGCAGCCTACTTCAGCACGACCTCAACCGTCTTTGCATGTGGTCATTGGAAGTCCGCCTCCAGGCCAAACCATCCAAGTCGATATTTATGAGCCTGGGGAAGGGTGGTGGTGGCCGAATTTACACCATTGACGGCTAATCGCCACATACCACACCTTCCGTAAAGGACCTAGGTGTACTCTCGTGTTGCGATTTGAATTCTGTTGACAATACGAACAGACCATATCGTAAGGGACTGTGTATGCATTGTGCGACCAAACGCAGCTTCTTTACTTGGTCTGAAGAGCTCGACAATCGTCTCCTCTCTACCATCATAAGACCAATAATGGAGTACGGCTCATCTGCCTACTGCCCAAACATCTGAAGCAAGGCGCAGAAGATCGAACGGGTCCAACACGTCGCTAGCAGGCTCATTCCAGGTTTACGGGAATTATCGTACGAATACCGGTGCGAGAAATTCGGACTCTACACCTTGTCCTGTCCTCGAGTGACAGTCAATCTCATCAGGAGCTACCGTATGTTACATCTCGGTGACTTCCCCATGTTGAAGCCGCTGCTTCATATGCGAACGTCATGCAAGACACGCGGACAACGGTACAAGGTTGTGGTGCCGAATATAAAACGATTACCTTTCGAACGGAGAGTGGCAAATCTTTGGAAAAGTATGCAGAACAAATCGTGGAGGCCAAATCTGTACAACAGTTCAACACGTCATTGGATTTACATTTCAGCCCCATTCGATTCAGATGAAGACTGCACACTAGCAATGACATCTTGCATTTGTGAAACCTATGAAACTGTAAGTCAAATATTCCAACACGGTACATAAGAACTTGTCGAACGATTCGATTATCACGGAGTGCAGGTACTTTGTGTGATAGTTTTGTCCATATTGCGATGGAGTTGTACAGATTTTTATTTGTACTTGATCCCACATACAGTAATCAGTATTCAGCGATCTGATCGATTTACAGGCGCCTGATAGATGACCTTGAACAACTCCGTAGACTTAGGTTGTGATCTGTGCCAGTGAAGCAATCCGTATGTGTTTCTCGATATCGAGTCACGAGCCAAGCCGGATGGTGTGTCCTCTCACTGCCGAGTAGCGCTATGTTGTCCGTAGTTGATTGACGTATTGGATTTTGCTTGAAACACCTACACACCAGTTGCGTGCTAGTTTTTGCTCCAAAAATCGCGGAATGGGAACTGGAAACCTGAGTGGCTACCAAACCGCTTGTAATGCTGATCATAGCGGTCAAGGACTCGTTGGTGGCTAGTCTGAACCACCACTGGAAAGCGATCCATATCGGAGTGAATCTCAGACAATTCGTGCATGGAAACAAATGTGGGTTAGGCGTTGCCAACTCCCGACACTATAATACACTTCAAGACCCTGCAGATAGAGACAGCTGGATGGAGCAACGCCTGACAAGCAACGATAACAGGTACAGTCCAATTGATAAAAAGAACTGAGGTAGACAGCAATAGATATCGCAGCCTTCATCATTGAGGGTGCGTACCGCGGCTCACATGCAATGGATGTAATCCAAAAATGCAACAACGCTGAATTTTAGTTGGGCTGAGGGGAGCACGTCAAGCTGTCCGAGCCGCAGATTCTCAGATTAGGTTAAGCTATGCATAAAGGTCATGAGATGGACAGTAAGCTCGGCGCATAATATTGATCAGAGTGTACGTGAGTACCCGAATGTGGTTATCCATTCAGTTTCAAGACTTCCTATTGCGGTTAGCGTTGCTACAAGACGCATAGGAATAGATGATACATTAGAGTGTATATGAGAAAAGGTAGGTGCTATCAAGTAAAGACAAGCCCGATGACTTAAGTTCGCACAAAATGAACCACTTACCCAAGCCGGAAACGTCATGAACCACTAAGTTTGTGAGAAAGTCCACGAGAGTCCCGTTGGACTCATGCAGCGCGACCAACGAACCAGCCACACTCTCCTTGCACTTTACAGATAACACATGCTCTAGCCAAGAGCTGAGTTCGAGACTGTGATCGAAGACAATCTGGGTGGTAAATGAAACGGCAAAATAGTGCAGGGGAAAGAACGTAGCACAGAGATAGAGATGCATAGAGAGAAAAAAGAGACAACTGGACAGGGGTAGACGGGAAACGATCATGAGGTAGATAAACATGCGGAGAAACAGAGAAAATATTGTATTATTGAGGTTTCCAACACATCACTCCGTTATTGCACAAAAATCAGAATATGGAGAAACAGTCATGTAGACAAAAATTTAGATGAACAGATGGATTGCGTAAATAACGGAAATCGAGCAGAGAATTCCAGAAATGATCATATTAAGTTATCGTTTAACGCGCAAACAATGAGGACATCAAATACCTCCCCTTGTATTCGCAACCTACATTATACTGAGTGAGACAATCAATTACAGTGCCCCAAACGCAAATTAATGAGATACTCGGATATGCTCACAGAGAGGGTCTCGAAATGAGCAAAAGTGTCGCTCACACAACCGACCTCATTGTGAGCGACAAGAAGAATACGAGAGTGATGCACATGAGTATTATACTCAACTGAAACAATGGAAAAAACGGACAAAAACAAACAGACGACACGAGGGCAACTAGACACTGAGCTCAGCAACGTAAATATCCTCATGAGATAAGGTAATGACTTTCTGTCAGGTAGCAATGAAGCTGTCTCGGTGCTCAATCAATCCCAAAACTGAAGGGGACCCAGTAAAGTTACAGTCAGATGCAGACAACAACAGTGGCAGACGATACAGCAAAGGTTATACCGTTGCAGGTAACGAAAATGAGTAATATGTTCACGACTCACATATCTTACAACAATAAACAGACAAGATTCAGTAACCAATCAACTCGGCAGAGACGAAACTAGCGGCCGCCCGAAGATACCGAACGTGGAAAGGAGACCGATTTATTAACATAGAAAATACAACAAGGAGCAGATAATGATTTGATTCGCTCACAGATATTTCTTCGATGCGAGGATGGAGGGGGTGAACGAGTCATTAAGTAAAAGCTGGAGAGTCTGTAGGAGCTTTAACTTATTTTGCTACTTTTAGCTTATTTCTCTTCGCACAGGGAAGATACTAGCCACAATCATGTGACGCTAACCACATCATTCAAAAGCTATTGATGTGTATACAATCAATGGACAACTTACTTTGAACTCTGGCTTATACCATCCAGCCAAACACCACCTGTGTTTTCCCTGTGCAATCTTTCTGCCCTACTGTCATAGTGTATTTTCGGGAGCCTCCCAAAAATATATCATTGGGATACCAACAAGATTTTATTTCTAACATCCAGTAAGGACGACGGGACATGGCTATTTTCGGACTCCGCACCTAAGCAGCGCTCCTACAAGTCTGATGACAAAATCAAGCGAGAGAACAATTGACTAAGAGAACATACCAACAGCATTCGAGTCCATAATTTCAACTGGTAAGATATCCGAAAATGACATGGGTGAACCCACGCATAGGAAGTGGGAATTCAGCAAGAGACGTTCTAGTTTCGAACACAAGCCACCACCATAAATGAAAAAGCTGACAGACATAGGAAAAAAGGCGCATTTCAGCAATGCGAAATGGTTACCCCAGTGCTTTACTTTACGCATAAACCATGTGGGACAAAAACCTTCCACTGAAGAATCAAGGATACAGAATGTATATATGACAGGTGCCCAGGGTTAGATTGCTGTACATGTGTTATTTCGGGACGAGAACCTTAGGGTGTGAAATAACCACGCGTAGGTTGCTGGTTGTCAATGGCTGCACGTAATTTGTATACATTACAGAAGAATTGCAGCGCACGACAACGGCTCTCGCCTCGACAGCGGCCAATTCCGGACTCATCGTCGATACAAGCAAGACTGGTATTTAGTCAGCTATCACCAGACGAGACTGGACCTTAACGTGGTGCGACGGTTTGCGTACCTCATTGAGCTATACTGGGTGATGCATCCGAGCACCTTGAGAGCTACTCCTACCAGGTTGATCAATGGTGAGAGGTCAGACAAACTCAGTCTCCTGGTCCTCCAGGTTGGGGGTTTGAAATGGGATGGCGTCCATGTCTGTAAAACTAAATCATTGCCACCTCTCCGCTGCATTGCGGAGAGGCTTTTGAGCCAAAGTCTTTGGATGAGAACCCTAAGCGTTCTCCTGTCTAGGTCTGGGCGCCCTGGCAGTATCTCAGCCCACATACAACCATGATATTTTCTTCAAACATAAACTTCATCCTACATCGGCCGTCGCGCAGATTTTCGGTGCTGAGTTATCTGCGAGGTAATGGCTGATTATGACGCGTGGCAGTGAAAGCCGCAAGGAAGCTGTCTCGTTGATGCCGCCTTATCTTTGCACGATAGCCAGGTGTTTGTGACGGTATGTTGTCTACAAAAGGTATAGGCGCCTTGACCCTGAATCTTTGCTTAGAGCATTAAGGTTTTCAAGTAAGTCTCCCTTCCCTCCCTGTTCTTATTCTTTACTTCATAGGTCCTCATGGTCGTATGGCAGCGAAGCACCACTTCACATGGCTGATGTACTGCTGTTGACGATGATGATCACCAGAAAGGGAATCCGTTTGATTGTCGCAAATCCAGATTGGTGACGACGTTTTGGAAATCACCTTCAGATTTTTCTACATCGAGAATATACTGCAAACGGATGTACACATGACGAGCGGGCTGCGTATCCGGGCATCGAAGGCCACGGCTGTACTTGGAAAGCCGGAACGTCGGATGTGAAAGCATCACCAGCCGACTGTTCGGATGAAGCGGACGGCATAAAAGGCGATGGTGCTGTCGGTTTGCCACTAAGAGAGCGAAACATGAACCATGTACCGGGAAGATATCCACTATGTGGACAGCTTTCATTAACAGCACCTGAGTCGGATTCGGCGCATCGATTGGTGCGACAGAGTTCCTGACACGAAAGTGCTCCGCTGAAAGTATGTACGGAATGAATTGTATGCTACTAATTTGAGATCTGAGGTGGCTCGGACATGTCCCGCGGCTGGATGCGACGAGGATATAGAAGCGTCAACTGTATGGCCAACTGTGTGCAAGATAGCGGAAGGGGAAAACCGAAACTGCGCTACCAGGACATGCTCAAGGTGAGTTTGTCACCAAATAACGTTGACTCCAGCTGCTGGAAAACAATGACAGTGAAATGCCGCCAAGAATCCCGTTGCTTAGGTGTTTCAAACAAGTTGGCTTTATCTGGAAGAAAAACGTCAGTTACGGAAACGACAGATCCCCAGCTCGTCAACTTCAGGCACATGGTGCTGTAGCACATGCGGTCATGCGTCTCAGCCGATACGGTCTGGTAAAGCATCAACGTGGCGACGATGGGCCAATATCGAGGAGGCGACAGGTAAGTTGGCTAGGTAAGTATCCGAACATGTTAAGTATGCTGCTTCTGATTCCATCCCATTTACTAACCCAAGCTAATAATGCGGTACAGGTGGCAAGCGTGCTACATCATCGCTGCAGTTAGTCTGTATGTGCGTTGATTTTTTGCATTTGAAGTGTTTGCTGTTGATTGCTATCTCCGGTGTGGCTGCACTAAGTGTGAATGTTGATAAAGTGCCTACTACGCACCATCATTTATCCATATTCTCCGTATGGGCGCTGATCGCCTTCCTCGAGATGCACTATATACTGCTGAGTTATCTGCGAGATAATGGCTGATTATGACGCGAGGTAGTGAAAGCCGCAAGGAAGCTGTCTCGCCGATGCCGCCTTATCTTTGCACGATAGCCAGCTGTTTGTGACGGTATGTTGTCTACACAAGGTGTAGGCGCCTTGACCATAAATGTTTGCTTAGGGCATTAAGATTTTCCGATAAGTCCTCCAACTCCCCCTCTCATTATTTCTCGTTCCATATGGTAGCGGAGCATCCGTGGCTGCTATAGAAACAGTTTCTCTCATCAAAAGAAATATGCGTATTATTATTATTACTGCTGTTGGTGACCATATGATGCTGACGCATCAAGAAGGGGGAACCGTGAGGTGAGCACACCATGAACTGGTTGTTACTCACCATGTAGGTGGGTGAGGGTCTCAGGGAGTGGACTACGTCACTGGTTACAGACCATATCTGACATGGCGTAGTCGCATAATTGAGGACACTTCCGCAATCAGTTTCTGGCATCTAGCTGTTCACATCACTTTGTACCAAATTACTTTTTCATGTGCCCCACCGTTCTTTTCTATACGTATCCTGGCGACGCAAGACGTGACATGGGGATCATTCACTGCACACATCAATGCCCGGATCATAAAGTTGTATATGGCGGCATCAAACGGTTGTGATACGTGCATGTGCGTAGCACAGTGGCGTTAGACTAGGGAAGCAAACCTATAGAACACTCCCACATTCTGACCTAATAACAGATCATAACAAAACTACCGTAACATAAAGGTCCTGGTGCACTCGGATAAACACACCCACACACACACATAACGGGGCTAGAAAGCAGACTAATGTGGTAGGCAAATGACCCAAGTCGATACAACTTAAAGTCAAGCGTGTACAGAGGAGAGTCGACTTGTTCGGGAAAATGAGGCAAAGTTGGACAAAATGTACTAATTCCAAGACATATAGAAAACCCAGAAAGGCGTCCAACGAAAGCGAATGATGTCTTGTGGTGTGATGTGGTCTGGCGCAGTAGAACCGAGCTAGAAAGAGCAATAAGAGAAACGAAACGAAGTGGATTATAGGCGAAGAAACATAGGTCGATCAGACGTTCTTCGGGGGTGGATAAGACTGGGCCCGAAAGGGAGGAAATCACCCGGGAAAAGGAACACAGTTGTGTATCTGTGTGTGTGTGTGTGCAGTGATTCCGTGTAGACTGATTTATATACCATGAGCCCCGGTCAAGAATGGGAATACGTCACTTCCAAATAGTGCCAACAGACAGCAGGATAAGAGAATGAATCGGTTAAGATCACCCACTGTGTAGGTGACTGCGAATGAAGTCAACCACAGAGGAAAACGACGATAAAAACTGAAGACCAAAAAGTGATAATGCATTTGCTTAACATATTTTCGTGTGTTGCAATCTTCATTCAATGAGATGGTCCCAGTCGAGTACCAGCGAGTAGATGAAGGCTGAGAGAGTGCCCCAACGAATTACTTGTAACTCAAAGCGGTTCTACGCTGGTTAGGGTGCTGTAGGGGACCTCAGGACTGGGCACGGGGATGGGTTCGAACATAGGGGCGTAAGGACAACATCGCGACTCCTGAATCTCTGCACAGTGGATCCCCGAGTGGTGTGGCCGTTAGAGCGACATTAAGAAGCATTGTCGGTTGGACGAGATGACATGTCACATATTCCTATCATCATGGTATAGAGAACATAAGTAGTTAATCCAATGTGTCAACCACAGAGGTACTAGTATAACATCGGTTGAGACAAAATTACTCGCCTCAAGGCTTGTTCGTCACTTCCCTGCGGGGCGAGAATCCCGGATTAGGGAAGAGCAAGTAGGCTTTCGCTTAAGCGATGGCTGAGTAGACCATATATTCAATCCGTGGGCAGGTGCTAGAGCAGCGCCAAACGTACCGCAGACTTACAACAGCTATGTTCCTGGACGTAAAGAGTGCGTGCCACAGTCGGTTTACGCATTCTGTTCGAAATACTTGCGCGGGAAGGTGTTTCCATGAAATATGTGAACCACGGGGAATGCTGCTCCTCAGCAATCCAAAAATTCCCATTTATTAGAATGAATCAAGGGAGGCAGAATCTGAGAGTGCAGCTCTTCGGACGAGAGGAAGAAATGTATGCCTTTACTAGTTCCGGTGAACGCGTCGTAGAGTTGAGTGAGACCTCAGTGGGTGGTTAGTCCAGCTTGTAATGAAAAGATTTGGAAAAATCGGACGCGGGAAACTTGATCGAACTGGAACATGCTATTTCCCTGCATGAGACATTTGATTTGGCGCAATCGTGAGATCGATTGCATTTCTGTAATTCCGCTAATCATCACTACCTTCGACACATTCTTCATCCGGCTATTCCTCTAGACTCAAAGTTCCGACCGGACAACCTATCCAAATGCCACTGCAGCTGCTGAATATGGCTCAAGGCTGATCAAGTAAATCCATCCGACCCACCAGTTCGTGTGCGACTTGCAATAAGGCGTAAAAGAGCAAAGCAACGTTCAAGTACACAGTGCATGCATGCGACAGCAAACATCTCATTGTGATGGCTGACCGGCTATGAAACAACGTGATCATAGAAATGCGAAGAATAACTAAGCGCTTGATTTCCTAAGGAACAAGGTTACATTTACCTGATCAGATCACTCATGTGTTGCAGCAGTAAGTGCAGGGGAAAAGAGAACTCAGGAATTGGTTATGAATCGCGGCCGCCTTGCGGTTCGCCAGCACCGCTTGAGAACGCTCGCTGCAACAAAACAGCTACCACACCTCTCCAAAGAACTTCAGGTCCTTCCACCAGCCTTCAACAATTGGTTACCATCTGAATAGAGTTGTAATACTATAAAAGAATCGGTGAAGTACCAAGAGAAGTTAGAGTCCAGGGTATAAACTCAGTCCTATGCACGGAAAACGGGCCGGTGGTCCACCGCCGCCACACGTGGCATGAGATCTCATCTCATAAAAGGACAGTCAAAAGTTCGAGAGCAATAGAAGAGTCGGGAGAAGTAAGCGTTACCGCTGGATTTGAGTTGCATGGGATGACAGCGCAACACCTTTCCGGATGTGTAATAAACGTCTGGTTGTGCGTGGCTGCAAACCTACTCTAAAAACACTTTGAAGCACCTCTGATACATCCAAACACCCGTCGCTTTTGAGAGAGTGGTCCCATGAGCGCCCGTCGTCATTATTTTCACCGGTTTCCTCGTGAAGCCACGCAACTACATTGCACCTCTCAAACATGCAGCAAGTACAGGTCGCAACAGCAATCAGAACACCGTAGACTCAAGTTCACCGGTAATGATTGAATTGATTGGTTGATTGATTGATTGAAGTTGATCCGTACATCAGTTTTGGTTCCAGTATCGATTCCCCAGATGGGAAAAGCTGTGTCATGTTTCATCTCCAAAAAACATCCCGCTGATAAAGGGCAAAAAATATAGGCTGCGTCTTAGACAAACACGAAGGCTTGTTTCACAGCTGGTACGAATCGGTCAACTTAATTAGTTATGTTGAAAGTAACCAAATCCTCAGTGGCAGAGCTGTACGCTATCCGGCACGTCCCCAGGTTGCGGATTGGGGAACGCCTTCATTGTGGAGGTAATCGCGAATAAGACCCCCCATGCTTTGCGAAAGAGATGAATAAGCAGTCGCGGACAATCACCTGCAGTGTCTCAGAGCGTGGGTAGATTAGGGCTGAACACCTGATTTTCCATCAGATACCACAATAGCTCGTACTTCGCTGCGTCAAACCCAATGTGACCAGCTATAGGGTCACTGATCACTCACTTCTGTGATTAGAGGTGAGTAGCTAACGGAGGGCCGGTGAACAACCTTGCTGATCATCGGATACTGTGTGGTCTACTACCGGACAGAAAGAAGGCGAATGGGCCAGCTGGCTGTCAATAGTCGTTATATTTAACAGCTGATTGGACGTTCCAGCTACATGCGTGAATTGCCCGCTGCCTTGCGGGTTAGGTCTTTAAGATCAAAGACTTTATATATATATATATATATATATATATATATATATAATGTCAGTAAGTCATTACTTAGATTGTCCAATTCTACTGCAGCTGACAACGGTAACGTGAGGATGGAAGGAAGAGCGAACGACAGGAAGGTGGGAGTGGCTGGTACTTGATGGGTGAACTGGACTAGCAGCGCCGCTATAAAAAAACAGAGCGGAATCAGAGCAACAAATAAAGTACTTAGAAGTGAGGATGGTGCCACCGTGAGAATAGAATTTACCTTTTTTAATGAAGCATAGGAGCGCACGGGAAGTACTTCAATGGACTGATAACGTGCTCGTATCCGAAGTTGTGGAAGATGTCGCTGCTCCACATGTGACTGGTCCAATTGCATGCTACTCGAAGTGGACGTGAGGAACGGGAAGAGACCAGATGAGGCGCCCCAGTGTCCAGCGCCATCCACACTTGTCATGGACTGTGAATTATGCGCGGCATTCAGAGAAGGAGTGAAGATGGTGCTCATGAGTTCGTTCGATCCAGTGGCGGCCGGTGGTTGCAGTGTGACCCACATTTGGGTGTCTGTACGGCCGGATAGCTCGAATGTGGGGATTGTGACAAAACCTGAGGTTGAAAGATAGCAGGTCAAAATGTAGAGTTGAATAAGACGTAAGCGTGTTGTGAAGTTGTGATTGATACAGCACGGGTTAGTATACAGGCTAGCAGGCACTTGGGTAAAAATAAAGCGTCTTAACAGAACTGGCTGTGCGTCTAACTTATGATGAGGAAACACAAGTGGAGCACGAAGTACTTTAAATCGAGCGCCCATTGTGTTGACCAATGGGACTGCAGCCAAAGAGAGAACATTTCAAGCGTGGCCGCTTTTTGATTCGTGGAGCTTGACCAAAGACGCGAAAGTGCTCGAAGAGCTAACATGAGAATAAGGTGTTTGTAAAATGCAATGTTTCGAGTTCCAATTATTGTAATATATTGAAACAAAGCCGAAAAGATGAAACCAACAACCATTTTCAATTCCCCCAGCTTGGTAAAGTGCGCAGATGTGCGAATGCAGGTATGGTGGGCGGAAATGGTAAGTTGAACACTAGGTTCGGAGTTTCTGTTGACGTAACCACATAGGACTTGTGCAATTAAGACCAAGAGGAAGATCGGTCGAAAACGCTGCCTCTTCGGAGCACAGTGGTCAACTGCAAGCCAGCCATTGATTTAAATGGAGAACAATGTAAGGATAACTATAGGCTGTCTTGTAACCATTTGCAAAGTGTAGGAGCAAGGTCCAGGCGGCAGTTGAGCAGAAATAACAAAGGATCCCATCAATTAGACCCGGGAAATCAGCTGCTATTGTTCAAATGGACTGCCTAATCTATTGTACGCCCAGGCCCATGATTGAAGCATGGAGAGACCAACACATCAGTGGGACGAATACGTAAGATTTAGTGTCATTTTTTCCGCTCAGCTTGGCCCCCAAGAATTCATATTAGTCTTACATCTCTACACTGCGGCCATGTGCAATGTAAGTCATCCAACTCGAAATAACTACGTCTCTCCCTCAGCATTACCTCCACTGTAGGTGACTGCACGCTTTCACTATTTGCTAGTGGAACCAATGACGCAATAGCAGAATGGATAATATCCAAGTTCACATAATTCCATTTCGACCCAGCTTAATCTTTAATAATGCACCACAGTTTTAACTAGTTTTGCAACTTATAAGTTACTGGTGGAATCATCAATGGATGGGTAAAATGGATCACGTATACCTTGTTTAGCAAATCATGAATCCTCCTTGGAACTTCTCCAAGCCCAAATGTATGCCACACACAAGCTCTAATCACTGTCGACCTATCAGGTTATGACATGTGGACTTCTCACTTATTGTCCGTTTAGCATAATCGCTTTGCATTTCAGCCTAAATACCTCACTTGATTGCTGATTAAAGCCTAATCTCTCCGGCTCATACTCTTCTCCCCTGTCGAAATCCTCCTAATTCAATTCCATTACAGGTTGGTCATTCGAAGTCAAATTACCGTTAGAACATCCAGGTATCACGAGTGCTGCCCCGCATCGCGCCAACTGGCTACAAATTATGTTTCCCGCACCACCTTAAAAGATATTTGCTGAGCTTTTGCTATATGGTTCGTGAGCTTGTCTTCGATTCCACCGGCAATGATAAAAGTCCCTAGTTGGTTGAAATGCCGTATGAGTTCGAGCTGATCAATGCAGGAAGCGGTCCCAGCCAATCTTGAAGGAAAGCTTTGCACTTAGATGGTGCAAAGCTAAGTCCGAAGCGAAGAACAGCTGATGCTACTTCGTGTAGTGCCGTTTAGCACGTTAGTGACCTGTTAAAAATGAGAGCAATATCGTCAGCACATGCCAAGTCAAGAGATCGTTGGCCTGAGAGCAGCTACACACCTAAGTCGTGTCCTGGGAACGCGATTTCTATGAGTTCGTCAATGGCGACGGTGAAGAGCAAAGGTGACAGCGGGCAACCTTGTCTTACACCACTGGATTTATTGAAGAGCGGCGACAGCATGCCGTAAGCCCTCACACTATGTTACAGGAGCCAGCTTACAGCCATCGGACAAGCTGAGAACTGAGGCGCAAGATTGGATCGATCTACATTTGGAGATCGAACTCAAGCAGAGGTCAGACATGAATCTAGACGGGGGCAGCAGCAAGTTGAGCCCTGAATATAAACCGTTTTGAGTTGTATTAATTGTTATTAATTAGCATCTCCGATGTTATTATGTTTAGTAGCTGCCTTCAATCTATTTATTGCGCTATGTTCTCATGCAAAAAACCATTGGATCTGGCTGGTCTTTGGCGTTTTCATTTCGTCGCGGACTAGCCGGGGGAGGCACAACAGACTTCTGGCGACGGAAGAGGGATCTTAAAAGGAGGACCAGATGATAGCCCTAAGGATGCGCTCACAAGATACTATAGAACGGCTGGTCGGACATCCATGACAACAGACGACAATGTTGGAATAACAAGATAAGCATTGTCCAGTGAGAGTATTCCAACTACAAACGACGTCATCCGCCAGCCACTGCATATTTGGCATCGGGAGAGAAGGAAGAGGACGATAATATGCAAACCAATACGGAAATCTTCAGCGGATAAACCTTGTGTCACTTGTTCCGTACGGAAATCAAGCACTTCTACGGTGGTGCTGCGGTTGCAGCCAACCAGTTCTGTACTATCCGTGAGAACGTCTAATCCTGTTATGCGTGCAGACAAATCGATGACGTCGGTGTTACCTCAAGTGCGTTCGCCCCAGAGCCGTACACTGTGGTCGAAATGCTTAGTCGCAAAAGGCCCCAGTGGACGCAGAACAGTGGGGGCAGAGCCAGCGAGGATAATTCGTTTGCATTGGCATCGATCGATGGCACATAGCTTGATTGTCCTGTCCGAGGAAACGGTGACTGCACGTTTGATGTTTCCCACAAACTTGGCTGACACCACTTGTCTTGAGTGTCTAGACAAGTTTACTCGAAAGTGAGAATCATTCCGGGTCCAAACTCGACAGGGAAATCGCTGGAGGCTCCAAGAACCAAGGTTTCATTCAGGTCAAAATCGATCGCAGTCATGGCAACATTACATCCGATTGGTATGTACCGTCTACGACTGCCCACAACCGCCATTTCCGGTCCAACCCACCTGAACCGAAAAGCTAACCAGGAGTGAAGAGTGCGCTGTTGGCGATACCCTCGCAGGCATTAAATCCCGACAGTGTTTTATGGAGGACAACCGATGGGCATGCAGTAGTGCCACCGGAGGGAGCGGGCTAGTCGCAGAAATACTAGCAGCATCAGCTCACTGATTGCAGATTAACTCCTGAGTTTTCCTTTACTTTATATCATGCTCAATAATCTTAAAATTTCTCACTATAGTTTGCAGGTTGTTCATGCGGTCAATCAGTTTCACGCGATCATCTTCCAGATCGTGATTTTTAGAATGTACACTCGCTAGCATGTCAGCAGTTGTTGACTTCTATCAAAAGCTCATTTGCTTTCCCAAGACTATGAACCTCGTCCAACAGTCTGATATTTGCTGGCTGTAGTTTTTTGGCGTCTTGTTCACAGCAATTTTTGTGCCATTCCAGATTAATGCATTGTACTTATCCCGAACTGCTTAGTTCAACTCGATATCATCATTAGCCAACATGTCCTTTTGGTGATGCAACTCGGTGACTACCTCCTGTAACCGAAATACCTTCTGCTCGTAATCGTATGGCTCGATACCGCATGACTGCTCGTTTTAGTGGAAGTTTTACATTTTCTTGCCTTAAACACTTCAATTTACCTGTGTTAGAGGCAATCTCTTGGTTGAGCAGACAAAGGTGATCGCGAAATTTAGAATAATCACGAAAATCAGCGTCGAAATAAATACTCTGTACCTGATCCCTCTTCTGTAAAACAGAAGCAGCTATGCGAGTATGACGATAGGGGAATCTTTGCATATTTCTTGGGCACACCTTTTCTGAGTAGACAGTCCCAATAGGTACATCGATCTATGGAAGCGAAACAGATGGCCGTCTTGTCATAGGGGTGGGTCGTGTCACGTGTGCATTGACCATCGAACAGCGACGACTGGCCAACGCATGGACTAGAGACCCAGCAGGTTTGAACATGTTTGCTGAACTGAGTTTGCGAACGTCTTGCTACCTAGCACGTCCGTCAACCAAGGTGTAGGGGGATGTCACAAATACGTAGCGACTTTCATAGGTGGGTTTTTGAGTAGCTGGCGAGTACCAACCTAGTGACAAGTGGTCCTAATTGAGGCTACGGTCCACCATGAAGTAAACCTCGATTACTTCGATCAATGAGACCACATAGGAAACGGAGAGATTTCGGTCTTACTCGCTCCACTCGGTTCCACAATCGATCACGCTCATTTTTAATCTCTTCGGGAAGAGAAGAGGAGATGGGAATGTAACGTGACACTTAGTGGATTACGGTTTAGCTATATCCGCCGATTTTGCACGAATTATGAAGCTTAGCTGCGAAAGCCGCATTGGACGACAGCCGATTAAATAACGCAGGCTCAAATTTGGAACTTCATGCCACGCAAGCAGAAATCGTAGAAGTCGATTTTGCTTCACAGGGTGGATTCAGGATATACATCGCACTGCGGTCGATGGCGGGGTTTTAACTCAAGCAAAAAATCAGGTTGTGAGAAAATCAGCAACGCCAATAGCAAGCGAGTTCGAGCGTCAGCCCGGCCTGTAGTGGAATCCGCACGGATGTTCACACATGGATGAATATCAACCGAAACGAAGAGAGGCATTGGTCAAACTCGGTTAACTAGTTAGTAGAGGAGTATCCAAGGAAGCGACAGGCGCCGATGGGTTGTACTCCATCGACGCCTAGCGCATGGTGGTGTAGTCCATGCAGTCGCGAGTGCATGAAACAGACAGAATTGGTGAGCCACGAGCAAGGCCACCCAGGACCGGCAACAAAATGACGACGAGTACTGCTGAGAACGTAGGCAGAACCGGCGAAGCGTTGGTACGTACGCTGCATTCGATTTACTAATCGCGTACATGCGTGCTGAAATTATTTATTTCAGGTGATCGGTTTGCTATAGTTTATAAATGCCAACTT